CAAAACCTACATCCTGAAACCTGTTGGTGGTTAATACATTCTAAACCATGTGGGCGGTTAATACATTCTGAACCCTGTGAGCTGTTAATACAATCTGAACCCTGTGTGCGGTTAATACATTCAGTACCCTGTGGGTGGTTAATACATTCTGAACCCTGTGGGCGGTTAATACATTCTGAACCCTGTGGGCGGTTAATACATTCTGAACCCTGTGGGGCGTTAATACATTCTGAACCCTGTGGGCGGTTAATACATTCTGAACCCTGTGGGCGGTTAATACATTCTGAACCCTGTGGGCGGTTAATACATTCTGAACCCTGTGGGGCGCCGTGATTTTCTTAAAGTTTCTAATACTGTTGACTCTCTACAAGCTCCCTAATAAAAGTCAATAGTATTATCTAATCAATAGTAATATAACTTTTACTTCGGCGCCCCACGTTTTTGATCGCTTATAGTAGAGTGATCGCTTGCATTATTGTGATGTATAGCATTTATTTTCTACTTTTTAGTTCAATCAGAAAACGTGGGTTTTTTAAAACTTTTTTTAATGATTATTATTTTCTACTTTTTAGTCTTTGTCTGTTTGTTTGCATTAAAATCTTGCTATCGATTTTATCTTTTCACTTTTTTGTTGGGTAAACGAAGACAACTCGTAAAAAGACAACTCGTAAAAAACACGTTGTGTGAATACGTTACTGACTAGAACACATAGATTTGAACCCGTGTCGAGTGGGTTAGCAATCGTGTGCCCAACCACTCGACCATATCGTCTCCCCCAAACTGGCCTACATCCTGTAAGTTTAAACTCGGTTCAAAGTAAATTATCTGCCCCTAAGCCTGTGACAACGTGGGATCGTTCGCTTCACTGCGCGCGAGGTACGCGTCGCTGGTTTTTTTCTAATGGCTCGCAGAGGAGAATTATATATATAGATTATATAGCGGTCTAAAATGCTCAATAAAATGTTTCCATTGATCAATTTAGTAATAATAACAATTGCATATTCTATGGTCATCCAAAAGAAAGCTTCCCTGAAAATTTCAGCGCGCTAGCTAGCTGGGAAGTGCCAGAAATTTCGATCGCAAGATTTGATTGGAAAGACAAACAAATAAACAGAGAAAGCAAGTTAAAGAAAACGTGGGAAAAAGTAAATTACTTTCTCCCGATGTAATGTTTTTATAAAGGGACGTAAATGTGTTTTCCTAATTTATCAAGGGATGTAATGAGTGCTTAAGGACTAAATATAAATAATTTTCAGACACAATTGGAATTTGTGAAAAGGTGATACATTTTTGTAAATTATTTTATTTAGAAACATGCCGGCAATGATCATTATAAGATAGAAAAATGAAAATCGGTTTACAAAATTTTCAGTATTAATTTTTTAAACCATGAATTTAGACAATGAGTAATTTAGACATTTAACTTTTGAAGCAATAGAAGAATCATTAATTCTGCCTTCCATGTTATATACAAACATACATAATTGGGCTTTATATATTAGAATCTAACATGATAGGTACCAACAAACTAAAACTTTGCGGCATAACCCACTACAGCAACCCACACACCAATAACCATGACGGATAGAAACAAGTCTCAAGCAAAATCCAAAACAACATAGCACTTTATAAATTTAGCTCAACAACAATTTTTGATAGGTTATCTATAATAAATAAGTACGCCATCTCAAAATTTACCTATATAGCCACGGCTAAAACAATCCCAAAGCCGACAATTAAACATCTGATTAAAACCATTAGCGAGTACATATTTCAGACCACAATAATTATTACAAATAATAGCCACAACACGCTAGTACAAAACAAACTTCGTGGAAGAATAAACCTGCACGATATACAGACCAACATCAATACATTCAGACTAACACACATTATCAAAATAATTTGTCAACCAAACTTTCACCAATTAGCTCACTACTATATAGGTATTCAGCTCAACAAACTTACAAAAATCAATAATACAACTCCACATTACATAGGGGACAAACACAGTCCCTTTTACATAGAATGGTTACACATATTAAAAAACAACGAAAAACTTCTACACGAAAAATCACAAAACATTTACAAAAAATTAGTGCAAAAACTCTCAACCACATTATACAACATAATTCAACGGTGTAGGAAATACGCTCTAACAGACACAATAGACACCTTCAGGAACCTACACCTTAAAACCATCACACCCAAAGCCAGGGAAATAACATAAAGACTCATCTACAATTTAACACACCAAGCAATACAACAGAAACCCTATTGCCCACTGTGTAGCCAAAACACACCAGAAACCGAAATGCACATCTATTTAGAATGCCCCACCATACAAAACATGAAAAAGACGCCAGAAACCAAAATAACAAAAAACGAGACATTCAACATCGATATAGTTATAACTCTAAACAAAATCCCTTAACAAAGAGACGGACCTAGAGCAAAAAGCAAGGACGGTAGCTATATATAGACAGACTATTTGGAACAGTAGAATAAAAGCAAAACACGACAAGGTACAGTTAACGGGACACGCACTCAAACACGTATACCATAATTAGCAACACCACAACGTAAAGAACATATTACACTGCATTGGCCACCTGGCCCGCCTAATCCTACACATCCCCCTTCATCACACCCTCCCCGCCCCCGGCAGTAAACCTTATGATCCCAATTTCATATTTCCACCATAACTGCATCCCCTTCGTCCCCACGACACCACCGTTGTGTTGAAATACTATGTTAAATACTGAACATGATGTATTATCCAAATACATTTCTAACAACATTAATTTGACTCCCACCCCCACAACCCCCATGTCCCCACCTTGTTTCATATCATTTATCATTTGTCATTCAGTTTCCTATTGTTGCTTATTTATTTTATATTGTTTTATTTATACAGCTAAAAAACCAATATTGTAAAGTCACAATTTGACACTATTTTACTATTATCATATTATGTACGATACTTTGGCCCACAACGTACAAAATCACTTTTATTTGGCCCCCTTATCCCTTTTACTGTTATCCTTTTCGATTTTGTATAATCACATACATGACATCATGTAAATAATAATTATGTACAATTGCAAAACCTTTCATTTTCATTTTATGTTCGAAATTATGTAAAGAATTTGACGTTGATGTACTTGTTTTAAATTGTAAATAAAGGTATTTAAGAAGAATAGACCGGGACTGATCTCCCCTAAACTTTCTCGATTATTCTTTTATTAAAAAACAGGGAATATGAACTCGGGATATAGTCTTAAATTTTAATCTATTTTAAATACTTAAACTTTTTAAAATAGAATAAAATCTCGGAGAAAAAGAATTTCACACCGGTGAACGCTAAATAAAATGTGCATAATATTGCGGAATATTATTAGTACTTTATAAATTTACATTAGTTTTTGAGAAATCGGAAATAGCTCAAAATTAGTACTTCCGGTCAACAGAAATTACTTAAAATTTGACAGAATTAAGAGAATTTGATACTTTACTTACAGGTGAAATTTAATTTATCTATCTGAAATAGTACTCAAGTTATAGGCTTTTGAAAACTTCAAAGTAGAAAAAGTACCACTTCCGGTAATCGGAAATGGCTCAAAAGTTGATACGGATCTACGATTTTGATATAATACTTATATATGAAATTTCATCAACCTAGCTATAACGGTAATCAAGTTATCGTATTTACACAAAGACACATAGACACACACAGACACACGACACGGACAAAAATGCAAAGTCCAGTTTTTCCGACTCGATAACGCATAAAACGCAAAAATGTTTATGTATTTGTATTTATAATTTTTGCCTGATTAAAATAAGTCCTCTATACTCCGGATGTGATGAAGGACTGAGGTGTAAAACGGTGAAAACTGTCAAAATTTCATGTTATTTTTATGCACGATTACAAGACTTTCTCTATACTTCGTATATACGAGAAAGTAAAAACCAGCCTATGCCTATCCTAGGCATTTGTAACTATTAACCTGTTCAATGTTTGTGTTGTCTATAGTAATGCGTAATGAGGTGGATATAAGACGAAGGCGTTTTTGATGAGTCGTAATAATCATTGACTTGATTTTATTGGTGTGAAGTTTCATTTTGTTAAATTTTGTCCAAGTAGCAAACTGATTGGCACATGTTTGAAGTTTGTAACTGAGTGACTCAGCACTGTCTGCAAAAACATGTAACGAAGTATCATCAGCGAACATCTCGTGGAATTTGTAAGGAAATAGTTTTTTTTTAAGTCGTATGCTGTGATCAATAGAATGAGCCAGCTCTTAAATGTCCTCTATCTTTACTTCTATCTTTCCGTTTGCGGATACGCTTGGGGTATTATAGTCATTCACTAAATTGAATCAGGCTTGTCCGCCGGCGCCCCGGCAGGGTTCGATTTGACGCCCTGGGCTTAACAGTGAGTGCTATGGTGCAGAATTTGGTTTTAATCAGTTGAATCAGGCAGTTCCACCGCGCACCAGCATGGTGCGATTTAGCGACCCGTGCTAGACTGTGAGCATTTTGAGTTTATGTTTCCGTTAGTGTTTTTTTGTGTTTTGGTTAGTGTTTGTTTTTGTTTGTGTTTGTACTTTTGTTTGCGATTAATATGTTTGTTGCGCTTTTCTGCGTTTTTGTTTTGGTTGATTGTAGTTAGGGTTATTTCGAAAAGTAATAGATTTTCTAAACCCGGGCAATGCCGAATATATGCTTATTACTAAACGCAAATCATGGTCCTTTTAAAGATAGGTTTTTTTATAAAGGCCAGAGCAGGGCCTTGTCGGGACGGCTAGTAAGTGTATAAAAGTTATAGAAAATCAATTGACTTTTTACAAACATGCACATTGGTATTTTATTAGTTTAAACAACTTAGAGCGCACCGTTCAGCACCATAGCGTAAATATCAATAAAAGGAAGCTGTTTCCCTAAAGCATTGATTTTGTCGCTATCTAGATTCGCCTTTTTTTTGCCAACTAGATCTACATCTAGATCGAGATTCATATTTCATTAAGTACAAAAACATTTTAATGTTTTAAGATGGCAAAGTTAAAGAGGACAACGATTACAAACATGACCAGTGTGTCTGAGGTAGAGGCAAGACAGGCATGTAACATAGACTTCTTAAAATATAATGTTGATAACAAATCAGAAGACACGTATCAAGCGGTTCAGTTACCAAATGAGATTACAATAAAAGTATTATCTTACCTAGACACAATCGAAGTGTTAAGGATGGCGACTGTGTGTAAGTCTTGGAAGGATTTGATCCACACTACGCCCAGTGTATGGCGAAACATTCACCTGCAGTTATCATGTAATAGAAAATCATCCCACAACAAAAGAACTTTTCTATGCGCGCAACAATTCGGAATGCATTTCCGGAAATTATCTGTCTCGTGCTCTCACGATCATCAAACTGCCATTTGCAAATTCATGGCTATCGACTTCCGGAAACTTTTACTCAGCCTGCATCAAACGAGTCTAACGTCGATAAAAATAACTGACCTGCAGCTTCGGGGCGCTTTGCTGAGTACAGTAAAAAGTATTACAGAGATTCTAACTCGTATTTTATCCAGGTCTGACAGGATACAGTGCTTTAAAATGTCGTCCGCGCAGTTTAGAGTTGAAGAAGGCATCAATGTTCTAGACACTGTCTTTTCCGAGTCCCGTGGAACTTTAGAGACTCTTTACGTGGACACGTTTTTTCGAGAGTCATTGTTGGGCTACCCTAGGAGAGAACAGGACAAACTGACCAATGGCATCCTTTCTCTTACCCGATTAACAAAACTAGGGATTGACTATCTACATCTGACTGATGGGTTTTTGACAGCTCTGTCTAGATCACACGCAGGGCAGCTAAAGAGACTAACAATTGTGGCAAAATATTTGATGGATGATGGGCCAAGAATTTTTAATTACGGAACTAAGCTAGCAACGAACTCTTGGTTGACTTTGGTAAGCATACGTCAGACACGTCTACGTAATTTGATAGTATCTTTACCTTGAATGTGTCGTTTAGCCTGACAATTAAAAACTGAGGTTTGACCGCTCTAATAATAAAACCATAACACTGACTATGTCCTTTATCATTTATACTAATTCATAGCTGGTCTAAGTAATGAAATTAAAAACAAACAAGCTAGGTACATCACTGCAATACTATGTCATTGTTTAGGAGAGTATATGTTATGTGGATGACCATAGAGCAGAGGCGTAGCTACGGGAGGGGGAGCGAGTGGGTACATATGTTCCCGGGCGCCGACCCTGTGGGCTCCAAAATGGGTTTGAAAAAAAAAGCTCATTTTAGCTGCAGTTTTGAATTATAAATACAACAAAATATATGGGGGGGGGGGGGTCAAATTGAAATTAGGTCCCCGGGCGCCGGAAGGGGTCGCTGCGCCTCTGTTATAGAGTACTGCACGCTGCATAAAATAAATCAAATGTTTGATGTTTTCTTTTAACTATCTGACATAACTAGGCAGGATCTTGTCCAGAGCTGAAGGTGGTGTTTGTGACAGACGGATATACCTTAGCACGTTTGAATTCCTGTATGGAGATACTGGATCGTGTTATGCCCATCTACAAGATAAAGCTGATGCTTGACTTTGGATATCATGACGATTTAAATAGCTCACGCTTCACGAATTTGCTCAACGAAATCACGGCTAACTTCAGGTGGGCCTGAGACTAGATACGTTTTTTTTTTAATCTAAGTGTGTCTATGTGTTTATGTTTGTTTATATCTTTGTGTGTATGTGAGTGTGTGTGTCTATGTGTGGATGTTTATGAGTGTGTATTTTTCTGTGTGAGTACGTACATGTATATGTACGTGCATATGTGTGTATCTGTATTTATATCTTTGACTGTGTCTATCGGTGTGTGACGGCGTGGTCAAAGAGTTTTACTTCAAGCCCGAAAGTCTAGGTTTCGGATCCCGCTTAGGAATTGGAACTGCAGTACTTCCCTGAGTCCACCAAGCTGTGATAGTACCTGACTTACGTTTGAGAAACTAAAGCCTGGACATACCATCCCTGCAAATGCCGAGGTCTAAAAAGGAATCTTTACTATGTCAATTTGTGTGAGTGCGTCTTTGTTTGCCTGTGTGTCTGCGTTCATATAAGTATGTTTTGTTGGTTATCTGTATATAATTGGGTGAATGTGTATGTTTGTGTGTGAGTATGTGAGTGTTTATGCCTGTAACTGTTTTGGGATGCAGTTTAGAGTAGGAGCTTAACCAAGACATGGTTGAACTGTTGACAGCCGAGCTGTAGGAAACCACTCATCTACTAAAACTTGTCTACAGAAATAGTCTGGTCAAGCTTGAACTGGAACATTGGCACCCTACTGGCCAAATTGATGCAGCTTTTCTAGACCTTGTCCGAAAATGTCAACTTCTGACGCATATAAAGGTAAGTTATATGTAAAATCACTGTACCAGGTAGTCCAGAGCAGTGGCGTAGCCAGGATCGTCTCAAGGGGGGGATTCCAATTTTTATCCGGGAACAAACTTTCGATTTGCACCCCCCCCCCCCAGAGTTTTGATTTGCACCCCCCCTTAGACTTTCGATTTGCACCCCCCACAGACTTTTGATTTGCACCCCCCCCCTCAGACTTTCTTTTTTACACCCCCCTCATAGTTTATATATATATATATATATACCGAGGGGTCTATGGGGGTTAGTTTATGTAATTAAACGACGAGAGTCAGTTTATGTAATTAGTTTTAGGCTTAGATTCAGCAAACGTGTGCCAAATCATTGGTCAATATATATATTAAGCATTTCTGTACATAATTAAGTATACGTATATGTACATGAATATATATATATATATATATATATATATATATATATATATATATATATATATATATATATATATATATTCATGTACATATACGTATACTTAATTATGTACAGAAATGCTTAATATATATTGACCAATGATTTGGTCAATATATATATTTATATATATGTATATATATATATATATATATATGTATATATATATATATATGTATATATATATATATATATATACCGAGGGTCTATGGGGGGGGGGGGGGTTATGACCCCCCTAACCCTCCCCCCCCCTGCCTACACCACTGGTCCAGAGCTCGAACCCTCAAGAAGATGATACTCGTGAGATGGTGGCAGCAACCCATCTAGAAAATAACGAAATCAAACATGGTTGCAGCCCCTTGGGCGATAGGATTGCCAATTCTGGTTTCCGTTCGGCAGCTCCTGCTACCTTGCTAATTCCAAGCTGTACAGGTAACGTCCTGTCCCATGGGTCTATCAGATGAGTGGAGAGAGGTGGGTCTGATACATGGGCAACATCTGGCTCTTCTCATCCTACTGCACAGGCTTTGTGCTTGTATTTCCGAAGGGCAATCATCCAATGGTCTGGTAGACTATGGAACCTTATTATTACTATACGAGAAAAATGGCCCGTTGAGGAAGGATACAACGGGTGCTAGGCTGATAGTGCTGACTCTTTTCTCTAAACTAAAACCACCCCACCCCCCCCACACACCACCCCCCACCCCCATCCCCCCCCCCCCCACCCCCCAAAAAAACATGTCTACCGTCCCATTCAACGAAATATAATTATATACTTTTTCCAGTGTCCGCCCCCTCCCCGAAAATTCTACCCCCGCCCTCGAAAATTTTAAGTACCCCCACCCCTCTCCGTGGAGGAAAAAGTCTGAAAGAAACACTGGTGTCGCGCTTAGCCACTACCCGAAGAATTGCATTAAAGAAATTGCAAGAAAACCACTTTTTAGATTAGACACATTAATTAGGCGGTAATTTTATTATAGGGTATCGATGAAGAAATTTCTTTTGAGTTGGGGAGGAGGGGGGGGGGGGCTCTGACGTTCTTAAGCGGGGATGGGGCTTCGCCCCTACCCGAAGAATTGTATGCAAGAAACTCTTCACAGCAAACCATTTAGATTAGACAAAATTGCCTTTTTATTCAATGTTTACTCGATAATCAATGACGTCATATTACTGTGTGCACTCTCCGGCTTGAGATTATTTTCTACTCTATGCTAAATGTGACGACGTCATACTTCGTTTTTCGAATTACTATGCATGTTTTTAATTTGCTTGTGTTTTCTCTAGAGCGTTCTTGTCAGATAGATATATAGATAGATACACAGACAGCGAAACTATCATTATAGATAGGAAAAGGAAAAGCATTGAGACAAAGCTTGACGTAACAACTGAAAAAGGAAAAGCATTGAGAGTAAGCTTGACGTAACATTGCTAGGTTCGAAACCTGCATCCAAGATAGAGACTGTAGGTGTAAAAAATGTTGCAATGATTTTTACTCAACGATTGGTCAGATACACTTATGACTGCATGGATTTAACGCCAGCAAAAATGTACCCACCATCTTGTTGAGGTCTTAAAATCAGTGCTTGAGATAGAGAGAGAGAGAGAGAGAGAGAGAGAGAGAGAGGTGAGAGATAAAGAGAGAGGGAGGGATAAAGATATATATATAACTAAGAATAGAGAGTGTTAAAAATGCTGATTTGGGTTTACATTCTTTACATGTCAGATAATATCAAAGAATATATATATATATATATATATATATATATATATGTGTGTGTGTGTGTATGTGTGTGGTTGTGTGTGTATAACATATTAACCAGTGAGCATCAATAGACTAAATACAACCTCATGTATGATTAATTATTACAACCTCTCTAATCCCACCCCCACCCTACCCCATATTTACCATACCACAGGCCACCGCCTACTTCTCTGACCCGGAGACTGAGAGGATTGCCCTGGAACTGGTACATGCCAGAAGACGCCAGCAAGAGATGAGAGAGTCCCAGGAGATGCCCAACAAGCGGGCGAAACTAACCCCGGCCGACGGTCCAGGTTCGGATCCCGCTTAGGCCACAGCACCGCTAAACCGTCCTTAGAACCAGAACTGACGGGGTACGCTTAGCGTCCGGACAGGTGCACGATGGTTTTTGATTCACCTAAAGACACACCTGACACACTTTTAAGGGGATTGTTACAGATATTGACATCTTTTCTGCATTACTAAAAATACATATTTAAAAGAAAAAAAATCAAAACAAAAATAAAACATTCACTGTTTTAACAATTAGTAAGTTTTAGTTTTTTTTCTTTAAACTTAATACATACTAAAGTTCATAAATTTATTTTTAAAGAATAATTTCACAGGCTTTAAAATGAACATACGTGGGGGGAAGTAGAATACCATATGTTGTTTACATGCCTTAATGGAATGTTATTTTATGGGCTTTTATCGCATTTTAATGTTGTAGTTTATTGGTCTATGACAATGAGATCTTGTAAGACTGACGTTGAAAATTATCTGAGGAACGAGCAACAAAGATAATCTTATTAATTATGTATGATGTATACAGAATATGCTAAAATACTTGGCGATCCTTGTGACCGGGATTTTAGTTCACGGTTGCAGTGTTTATAGCCTTAAATACAATGTCATGTCTGTTGTTAATTATAGAGTTCAGGAAAATGTAGATTTTAGTAGTTTTTTAATTGATTAGATTAGGTTACTTAGCATCATTGTTGGTTAGCACTTAACAGCTAATCTAGGAAAACATAAATCTGGCTAGATTGAATCAGAAAAGTTGTAATCACTAGGAACCGGAAATTCCGGAATTGAACTGGAGACTTTCGGGTTAACAGCCTTGCGCTCTACCGCTAGTACCAAGCCGCCACTTTTAATATCCGTAGGATACCTTTTAATGTTGGCCCGTTTCGCATTATTATTGTGTATTGTACAAGCTTTAAAAATGTGAAACCAATTTACAGAATACTTAGCACAAAAAATATTAACAAAACACCCATGTCCAAAGAAGATCTATATTGAAATTTTAAAAGTACTCTTCCTTTTAAATCATTATAGATATACAACACAGCTTTATGTATGTATACATTAATGTAAAGGCGCTACCTGTACATGTTTTTACAAAACACTAGCCAAAGATCGATCTCAAATCATAAGGATTAACTTGTGTTGTATTATTACCCATTAAAAGTACAAGCAGTCAGAAAAATACAATTCTATTTTCTAACCTGACGGTCAGTTGACTAAGTGAAGTAGAGTTCTGTGACTAGGTGAAGTAGAGTTCTGTGACTAAGTGAAGTAGAGTTCTACGACTAAAGGATATCAAGGGATAGTTTGTCAACACAATGCCCAGCCGCCTGTACTTTCCCTAACGTGAGTTAGGTACTCATCAGAGCTGGGTGGACAGGGACGTACTGCTGACTTGAACCCGAATTTGAACTTGTGTGTGTGTGTCTATTTGTCATACTGTTTTTGTGTTGGGTTGTTTTGTCTTTGTATACCAGCCCTCTACGAATACAAAGTCTATATTATATTGGTAAGTATTATACTATTATGCATTTCGATCATTGACTTCTACCTTGTATAAGTAACTTCTAACAAAAACTCTAATATTTAAAACACACATTGATAGCATTTTAAAAACATAAATAGGCAGTTAGCTGCCTTAGTCATGTCTACACAGTGTGATGGTTGAGTAACTTTAGGTATCTGTCTGGTAGCGGTGATCCTTAGACCCCTGCTGTTAAAGTGAACGAACGAAAAATGTGAAACAAACGGTAAGGCGGCGGTTGTAAAATATAATAGGGCTTGTGCATCACTTTGTGTTTTCACCGGGTCCCAGAAAGAACCGCAACGGAAAAAAGCGCAACGGAAAAAAGCGCAAAACAAAAAGCGCAACGGAAATAAGCGCACACGGAAAAAAGCGCAAAGAGAAAAAAGCGCACACAGAAAAAAGCGCAAAAAGAAAAAAGCGCAAAGAGAAAAAAGCGCAAAGATAAAAAAGCGCGCACAGAAAAAAGCGCAAACGGAAAAAAGCGCAAACAGAAAAAAGCGCAAAGAGAAAAAGCGCACACAGAAAAAAGCGCAAAGAGAAAAAAGCGCACACAGAAAAAATCGCAAACAGAAAAAAGCGCAAACGGAAAAAAAGCGCAAAGAGAAAAAAGCGCAAACGGAAAAAAGCCCAAAGAGAAAAAAAGCGCACACGGAAAAAAGCGCAAACGGAAAAAAGCGTAAACGGAAAAAAGCGCAAACAGAAAAAAGCGCAAACGGAAAAAAGCGCAAAGAGAAAAAAGCGCAAACAGAAAAAAGCGCAAACAGAAAAAAGCGCAAACGGAAAAAAAGCGCACACAGAAAAAAGCGCAAACGGAAAAAACGCAAACTGAAAAAAGCGCAACGACAAAAAGCGCAACGGAAAAAAAACGCAAAAAAAGAAAAAAAACGCAAACAGAAAAAAGCACACACAGAAAACTGTGCACACCGAAAAATGCACAAAGAACCATTTTCGCACAAAGACCTATAAGGACTAGATGACAAATTTATACATGTTTGTTACCGCTGCTGTGAGAGTGTTGTGTTTGACCTGACGCGATATACTACCACTTAAAGCATACCACTACCATGTGCATTCACATCACCACGATACAGGCGATAATCGCTTGACACAACGTCTATTTTTTTTCTTGTTCACTATTTATTCAACGACTATTCTCGAATAAATAAACATAAAACTATCCTTGATATTGGCATTACACGGAGTATCTCGTACATGCTCCCTAGTCCCAAGCTTGCATTCTATAACAACCCGTTTCTATCGCAAAACTTCACTCTCTTTCTTCCGAGTCATCAAACATGCATTCGCTATATCTCTCGCACAAACATTCATTCGCACAAAAATACCCTGATAAAACACACATCAGAATCATTATGTATTTAATTATTTTTCATCATGATGTACCTATATCTACCTACCTACCAACCAACCAACCAACCAACCAACCTACCTACCTACCTACCTGCATACCTAACTACGTACGTACCTACCTAACTACCTACGTACCTACCTACCTACGTACCTTGCTACCTACCTACCTATGTACCTACCTAACTACGTACCTACCTACCTACCTACCTACGTACCAACCTAACTACGTACGTACATACCTACGTACCTACCTAAGTACCTACATACCTACCTACCCACCTGCGTACCTACCTACCTACTTATTTAAGTAGCTACCTACCTACATACATACGTACCTACCTACCTACCTACCTACCTACCTATCTACCTACGTACCTACCTATGTACCTACGTACCTACCTAATTACGTTCCTACCTACTTATCTACGTCCCTACCTACCTACCTACCTACATACATACGTACCTACCTACGTACCTACGTACCTACCTACCTACCTACGTACCTACCTACCTACCTACGTACCTACGTACCTACGTACCTACCTACCTACCTACCTACCTACCTACCTACCTACCTACCTACCTACCTACCTACCTACCTACCTACCTACCTACCTACCTACCTACCTACCTACCTACCTACCTACCTACCTACCTACCTACCTACTTACCTACCTACCTACCTACCTACCTACCTACCTACCTACCTACCTACCTACCAACCTACCTACCTACTTACCTACCCAATTATATATATACATATAACCTCATGTCGTTGCGCTTTTTTCAGTTTGCGTTTTTTTCCGTTTGCGCTTTTTTCTGTGTGCGCTTTTTTCCGTTTGCGCTTTTTTCTGTTTGCGCTTTTTTCTGTTTGCGCTTTTTTCCGTTTACGCTTTTTTCCGTTTGCGCTTTTTTCCGTGTGCGATTTTTTCTCTTTGCGCTTTTTTCCGTTTGCGCTTTTTTCCGTTTGCGCTTTTTTCTGTTTGCGCTTTTTTCTGTTTGCGCTTTTTTCCGTTTACGCTTTTTTCCGTTTGCGCTTTTTTCCGTGTGCGCTTTTTTCTCTTTGCGCTTTTTTCCGTTTGCGCTTTTTTCTCTTTGCGCTTTTTTCCGTTTGCGCTTTTTTCTGTTTGCGCTTTTTTCTGTGTGCGCTTTTTTCTCTTTGCGCTTTTTTTCCGTTTGCGCTTTTTTCTGTTTGCGCTTTTTTCTGTGTGCGCTTTTTTCTCTTTGCGCTTTTTTCTGTTTGCGCTTTTTTCTGTTTGCGCTTTTTTCCGTTTGCGCTTTTTTCCGTTTGCGCTTTTTTCTGTGTGCGCTTTTTCTCTTTGCGCTTTTTTCTCTTTGCGCTTTTTTCTTTTTGCGCTTTTTTCTGTGTGCGCTTTTTTCTCTTTGCGCTTTTTTCCGTGTGCGCTTATTTCCGTTGCGCTTTTTGTTTTGCGCTTTTTTCCGTTGCGCTTTTTTCCGTTGCGGTTCTTTCCGGCCACCGTTTTCACCACCTCAACAAAGTAAGTTTTTAAAACTGTTCACATCTTTTATTTTTTTATTTTATTTACATGTCTTTATATACGTTTAAAGTTTTTCAACATGCTGTTCTGTTATTGTCTTTTGTATATCTACTTAATATTCTTTGTTACTAACATAACAATAACAATACTGAATGTTTATAACGTGATATTATCCTTACCAACAAAGCACCGTTGATATGTAAATATTGTAATATTGTGTAATATGTGGGTTTATGACAACCGGGGTGGTTGGGGGGGGGGGGGGGGGAAGTTAACTTGTTACATTAAATAATTTTTATTTAAATTATTTTTTTTTCATTAAGTCCTAAAAGAGATGCCTTTAATAAAATACGTTTTATAATAACCGATCCACACTAAAGCCAGTTTTTAAAAGCGACTTATAATGCATGTACCAAAATGTAATTTAAAGAAAAAAAAGACTATTACAAAGCAGTCTGATTTATCCAGGTTAATAGAACAGAAAACAAGATGGCGGCGTATGAGTTATGTATGTCGTTATTCAAGCGGTTCTCGTATCAAACAACCTCGACCCCACGTGACCTTGCTTATGATGACTGAAGTTCAAAGCGACGCGGATATCATACCAGTGACTGATAAACATCAACACATGTAAATATCAGGGGCGTAGCGAGGGGGGGGGCGGGGGGTGCGGAGCGTACCGGGTGACACCATTTAGGGGGGTGACACCAAGGCAAAAAATAGCAAAATATATAGAGAAAAACTTGAGGGGGGGTGGACATCGAAAGTTTGAGAGGGGGGGGGGGTTCAAATCGAAAACTTGAAAGTTTGTCCCCGGGAAGGGTCGCTACGCCTCTGGGGTGTGACACCATTAACTGCCGCACCGGGTGAAACCCGACCTCGCTACGCCACTGGTAAATATGACATAATACTAGCAATTAAAATTATTAGTTTCAATATGTTTTATGAAGCACTTAAACCGTGCGAAATGATCCTCTAAAATAATCTAGAAAAAGTGCATTGTAGAGAGACGGTAATGATTTTCCTGGGTTGTTTGATTATTAGCAGACTTTATAATTTAGTTACAATTACCTTTGATATAAAATCATGCACTTCTTATGTACAACCAAAGAAAATAATTGTATCAGGTAAATAATCCATAGCAAAAAGAGACGGTAGAGAGCTAGGCTGCTAACCCGTATGTCTCAAGTTCGAATCCGGGTTCAAGACCGCCCCTGAGTCCACCCCAGCTCCAATTGGTACACGGCTTACATAAGGGAAAATTAGGACGATTGGGCGTAGTGCTGGCCACATTATCTCTTCATCTGCCGTTGACACAAAAACTTGTTAACTCTACTACACTTACCCAATGGACCATTAGGATACGAAATATAACTTTACTTTACTCATACACAACAAATTAGGCATAGTCTACATGTCCATGTCTTTGTTCAATACTGGCGTTGTGTACCACCTATAAAGATAGTTTGCTTCATATGTGTGGTAAAGCTATTATAAAGGTAATGTCCTAAATGTACTGTCTGTGGGGTCATCCATAAATGACGTCACACTCGTAGGGGGGAGGGGGGTCCGTAATTTTGTGACGATGTGTGTTTTGGGGGAGGGGGGGGGGGGGGTTCAGATGTTGCGACGTCACATTTTTTGCATTATAAAAAGCAATGATAGAAAACAAATTTTAGACTTTATTTCGCGTTTTAGATAACTGTTTTAATAAATTGTAATAGTTTAGACAAGATTTTGGAAAAAATATCGATGTTTTAAAAAAATTCAACTGCATTTTTGAGGGGGGTTGTAGGTTGAGGTGTGACGTCATTTTAGGGGGGGGGGGTCTGACTTTTTGTGACGACGTGTGACGGAGTAGAGGGGGGGAGGTAAAAAATCGTCAAAAAAAGCGTGACGTCATTTATGGATGACCCCCTGTGTAGTATGTGCACAATGCCGCTGTTGTGGTGGGTTAATCATTATCGGGAAAGTGCAGCATACTATTCTGTAGTCGCAGACTTAAAATACAAATGTTATCAATAAATTACAATAAACGGCTGACTCCACTTTTAGTCTGCATATCAAGTAACCAGCTTGAGTTATATTTCCGGCGATGCTGCAACCAAAGTAACGTTGAGAGTTACGTCACGATTACAAATAATTAAACTATCCTACTGTATTTACATTCAGCATACGTTTCCAAGAACATCGTTATTTTATATTTATTGAGCTTAATTAAAGTTTAATTTTAGTAAAGCTTGTTTATTACATTGAACACTAAACTTGACCTTTCTCTCAAAAATCGCCCCCAAAACTTGACATGGGGTAAATATATATATATATATATATATATATATATATATATATATATATATATATATATATATATATATATATATATATATATATATATATTTACTATTTACCCAGGCAGACGGCGCCCTGCAGACGATTGAGGAGAGCGACGCCGCCCTGACCATCACCACAGAGGGCGCCCACCCCTGCATGTACACCGGACCCTCGGACCGCATCTCCTGTAGGACCGACGAGTACTGCGCCCTTGGTAACAACTGCAACCTCACCATCGCCGCCGTGTGTCCGGCGACAGCATCCACGTCCAGCTGGATGACGTCAGATACCGTTGACGTCACGGTGGATGGGAGTGACGAAAAGATAGCTCTGTCCGGTTGTATCCTGTCCTGTACTACAACTACAACACTTACTACTTCATAACACACACTTACTACTTCATAATACCATTATTAGCGTTATCGTTACGTTCAACTCATCAATCAACAATATACAATGTCAATACATGTGTTAACTACATACAACATCAGCATTACCTTCAACACTGAAAGTTTAATACATCAGTCAACTCCATACAATGTCAATACATCTTATAACTACATACAACATCAATACTACTTACAACATTGAACAACACTTCATACAATTCTCCATGCACATACAACATTCATACATTACAATAAAACTTAACACAGCTGTTCCACATTTTTATGCATTCCCCTAATACATGTTACTGCGTTGATGAATTATCTTATCAATAAATTAGCCAATTGGAAAATTCAGCTCAAAGAATATAAAAACACTAACCAGTTGACGTAGGATAAGATCAATACAAGCCAATTATTGCAAAAGATCAAACATTGTCATGCATGAAACATTACTACACGTTCTAATAAAACATTATTTAAATAAATTTCATAAGGGTAGTATGGAATATCTTGAAAAGACGACTTGTCTACAAAAGCTATACCTTACCTGTCTATTCGCAAACTACAATAGTTCGATAAAGAAATAACCTGTATCACCTTGTAGCAATCAGTTCGTGAAAGTAAGTATGTTTAGTTGTTACGAATTGTTTTTACTTCATACGATCGACACTTTGTTCTTAGTGTGCTAATTATTTTCCAATGTTAACGAAGTGAAGTGTCCATTGTTCTTCAGACTTTCTTCAGACCACACTCTTTCTTTCCGTGTGCTTCTTTCAGGAACATCGCGTTCTGTAGAGGGAGTTTAAACTTACGTTTTATATGTGTGTTCATGTATAAATACTATTTTTAAAATGTTGAATTACGATGTATTAATGTAGCTTTTTGTCAAGGCGAACTACAGATAAAACTATTTGCTTAGTGTCATGCATTTGTCTAACAAATTTTATAAAAATCAGCATACATATAAATTACCTAACTATACATGCTCATTATAAAACAAATCAGGGATCTATATCTTCACTTTAAATGAATCTAAGTCATCACCTTCCTCCCTCGCCTTTTCCTTATAGAGGCAGTGTGGATTTTAAATTAAGGGGTTCAATAAACTGCTTCCAGCTTAAACCCACCATTGTATGTTAGCTAGCAATATTCATATGCTATTTGCACAGGACACTTAGACTCTAGATCTTAGTCTCTATTTTATAAAAAAAAAAAAAACCTTATTGACAGCATCTATATATGTTTAATTTTATTTTAGAAAAAATGAAGGGGGTACTTCTACTGCTATGCCTAACAGTGCTTTGTTCAGTTGCTTACGCTGAACTCGAGGTACGTAAACTATACCTATAACTTTAGGTTAGCACAAAACAAACATTAATTGTTGGAACTGTGGCTTATTCATTTATCAGATACATAAATACAGTAAATCACCATTTTTTCCCGTTCGTGCCCAAGACTCATAGGGCAGATGAAGTAGAGTTCATCGGGTTCAGAGACCTTGGCATATGAAGGGATAGTGTGGTCATTACTACGCCTTTGTTTCACTAACGTGAGTTATTTACCTATCAGACATGGACTCATGGGAAATCTACATCACGATAATAAAAGATGTATGTTATCAAGTTATGGTAGTGCATATTAATTAATATTGCAGATGGCTGATGTTGAAGAAATAGACGAAGTGAACGGACGTTTGGAAGCCGGCTCCGACAGTGATGGATCGGGTACCACGAAGGTACGAGATGCCGGCGAAAGAACCTACATTCTGAACCCTGTGGGCGGTTAATACATTCTAAACCCTGTGGGGGTTAGTGTTTTAAAGCAAATATTTTCAGTGGCAGCCTTGGTACTGTCGAATTCACAAATTATGAATTACTGAAAAGTAGAAAATAAAACAAATAAATAGCGGCGTATGATACGCTGCGGGTCGGCTCGTACATTCTAAACCCTGTGGGCGGTTAATACATTCTGAACCCTGTGGGGTGTTAACTGGAATTTTTAAAAAATGTTGTAAACTTTATTACTTTAATTGTTTTTTTATTGTTCAATTAATGTCAATGGGCCTCAGCAGTCAAATGCGTGGCTGCTAACACAAAATTATCGAGTTGGAATCCAGATTCATTCTAGTAGAGAGTACCCGAGTCCACCCAGGTTTGATGGGTACCTAACTCATGTATGGGAATGTAAAGGCGGCCGGGCATAGGGCTGAGCATACTTTACTTCGTATACTGAGATCATATAAACATATGTGCTCTATTTTATCTGCACAATGGTTAGCTGGGTCTAAAGATGATTCTTTACTTTATTTTTACTTAACGTCAACGTAAGAATTATTACTGTATACTATTAACTAAAGAATAGAGATAGAAGGTAAGATAATTTTGATACTCGTATTGATCTCCAGCTATCTTACCATGTTAAAGAAATATATTCTGTAGATAGTTCTGCGTCAATTTATAATGAACACGTTTAAGTAACGTATGAATCTACTACCACACAAACTGATTCACGGACATGAAATGTTTTAAAATAATAATTGACAACTGATACGAAAGTGTCCACAATGACACACAAGTGCCATTTGAAATGACTTCACTTTGACAAAGGCCGGATGACGGGAGGGGCAATAAAATGAACATGTTGACAGAAATTAAAAGGCAAGGGCTTGTGTTACTTTCAATAGGGTATCCGGAGAAATAACTGGTTTTAAATCAGTATTAAAGTACTCAACACCTAATCTAATGTTCATTTGTATTTGCTGGAATTAAAGTAGTCTTTTAATTGCAAGTGATACGTAGTTTTTCATCAAATGCTTTCTTCTGTAGGACCGACAAATACTGCGCCCTCGGCAACAATCGCAACCATACCATCGCGGCAGTGTGTCGGGCGACAGCATCCACGTCCAGCTGGATGACGTCAGACGCCGTTGACGTCACGGTTGATGGAAGTGACGGAAATATAGCTCACTCCGGCTGTATCCTGTCCTGTATTCCATCCGCTGAACAAGTCGAAACATCGACAGGTCTATAATTGCGGGTTTTAACTTAACAGCAGCCCTGATCATTGGGGCAATTTTTTTTTTTTGTAAAGTACGACAAAACAGAACCCCAACGGAGAAAAACAAAATGACAACCAGCGCTCTAAATAATTTATCGAATTTCTTAAGTAACGTAATCAGAACATTTTATTAAAAAACAATCAACAAAAAAAAAAGCAAAAAAAAGAGCTTTTACAATAGTACTATTTCTTACCATATTTGTTAACCTGGTATTGATTTTAGCATATGTATGAACAACAAAAAATAAATAAATAAACATCTATTTGATTCAGTTGTGTCCTATCTGTGTTTTGATAAAATAAACTATTTAAACATCATTGTAATGTATACATTTTTGAGAGAAACGTGTGTCATTATCATTCATCATTTTCCTTTGTAGCCCATGGGGAGCAGAGGGCTGCAGTTACACTTTTTCATCGGATTTTCTGGATACTGCGATTTGGTTCTTTGTTTTGTCATCGGTCGACGTCCAGGTGTTCTTATGTAAATCTTTATGGGAGAACATCGTCCCCCATAAAATTAGATCATTTAATGCACAGACATCAGCAAAGATTTCTCCGTTTTCATTTATTACGCCTACTCCATTTTCCTCATTATGAACACCTAATCTTTATTTTCTGTTTCAACTTTGGCGTTCATGTCTCCAATTACTATCTTTTTGTCTTTTATTTAACTCACTTCTTCTGTCTGTCGACAGTGGTCAGTCGTCATTCTATCGCCAGTCGTCAGTCTAGATCGAACGCCAGCCGAGCGAAATTTTGGACACATCTAATTGATAGAAGTAGTTGGTACGTTGGTCAAGACATGAAGACAATGCAACATGACATTAAATTTGACTTAATTTTTTATGAATTAATTTAAAGCAATGAAAAAAAAATCATAAAAAAACGTTTTAATAACAAGTTTTTATGAAATAATGCACTAAAACTTAGAAAATAAATTATACACTACTATTTAAATAACTATAAAGAAAAACGTGGGTCTCTTCCTAAATATAGCAAAGGTATCCAATATATACCGACACTTTTCTTGATAGTAATTTAAATAGTTGTGTATAATTTATTTTCTACTTTTTAGTGCATTATTACATAAAAGCTTGTTACTAAAAAGTTTTTTATGAAAAAAATTTCTAAGGTTTTAACTCACTTCCTCGTCAGTATTTCGTCAGTCTGTCGTCAGTCTGTCTGTCTAGATGGAAACGTCTGAGCGAAATTACGGGCACTTCTAACTGACAGATACTGTTCGTAGCCTGTACGTGGATCAAGACATGAAGACAATGCAACATGACATTAAATTTTACTAAATAGGATGCGTAATTAATTTTTTATGAATTAATTACAATTTTGACCAAATTATGAGGCAGTATTACCCAACTATTCGCATTATTACACACGTGTCATCACGTTCAATGGGTTTTAGTCATGCAACTCTAAATAAAAAATTAAAGTACTGAATTTTTACTTTCTCGGAAATACGAAGTATAGAGAAAGTCTTGTAATCGTGCAAAAAAAAATCGAGATTTTTACAAATCTCGACGTTTTACAACTCACTGATACGGAAAAAACATTATTTTGCAATCTTGTCGGTATGTCTGTGTGTATGTGTGTGTGTGTGTCTGTCTCTCTGTGTGTAAACACGATAACTTGAATCTTAAAGATTCAAAGTAGAAAAAGTACCACTTCCGGTAAGCGGAAATGGCTCAAAAGTTGATACGGATCTACGATTTTGATATAATACTTATATATGAAATTTCATCAACCTAGCTATAACGGTAATCAAGTTATCGTATTTACACACAGACACATAGACACACACAGACACACGGACAAAAATGCAAAGTCCAGTTTTTCCGACTCGATAACGCATAAAACGCAAAAATGTTTATGTATTTGTATTTATAATTTTCGCCTGATTAAAATAAGTCCTTTATACTCTGGATGTGATGAAGGACAGGTGTAAAACGGTAACAAAATGTCAAAATTTCATGCTATTTTTATGCACGATTACAAGACTTTCTCTATACTTCGTATCAGTGTTCCCTCTAAGCTGCGCGGCTGCGCGGCCGCGCAGCACTTTCAAATGTGCCGCGCAGTCATTTTCTGATGCCGCGCACAGATTATCTGAACGTCGGGCAAGCCTAATTCACAAGAAAAAATGTGGTCAGTGGTTTGAATTAAGTGACATTTTTAGTACCTGTTTTGTTAAACGAACAGTCTTTGTGTTTTGGGGCCTCGACCAAACTGATACTTAAAGCTTGTGACCCCTGGGGGAGGGGCTGATCTCGGTTGTCATACCACAGGTCTAGTTAATGACTTAACTCTCAACTGAGCGGGGCGGGTACCGATGTGATGTCTGGGTGACCTTCCCTCTGCTTGATTTAATGGTTTACCCCAAAACTGACCGTAAAAGGGATTGTGGCTAGTAGCTGACCATGCAAGGTTTTATTTTCTATTGTCACTGCCCTCCCCCATCTGCCAACCCCACCCACCTCCTTGATACTATGACGGTTTATCCAAGTCAGATGCAAATTCTAGGTTACTTAAGGTGGATGTGTTTTACTCT